CGGGGTAGTCAAGAAAGTTCCCACGGCGTAGTCAAGAAGGGTCCCACCGGTAGTCAGGAAAGTTTCCACGGCGTAGTCAAGAAAGTTCCCACGGCGTAGTCAAAAAAGTTCCCATGGCGTAGTCAAGAAAGTTCCCACCGTGCAGTCAAAAAGTTCCCACGGCGTAGTCAAGAAAGGTCCCACCGTGCAGTCAAAAAGTTTCCACGGCGTAGTCAAGAAAGTTCCCACATCGTAGTCAGGAAAGTTTCCACGGCGTAGTCAGTAAAGTTCCCACGGCGAAGTCGGGAAAATTGCCACGGCGTAGTCAGGAAAGTTCCCACCGCATAGTCACTTCGGATTCAACACGGGGCACAGCAAAAAAATTAGACCCAATAAAAGGTCCCATATACAGTAGGAGGGAAATTTAGACTTACAAAAAGGCCCCTAATACAGTAGGATGAAGGAGAAAATCAGTGACTGAAAATTTTCAGGACGTGTCTTTAGACCCAAAATCGGAAAAAAAAGTAGGAAGGAATCAGCAGAATACAAAAATTGATTTGAAACCGCCCTAATATAGCAAGACACAATACATAGTCTTAAAACAACATGTCGTATCAATAAATTGGAAATTGAACTACAATCGAATGTGATCTATTTATTATAAATTTTTGTCAACACCGTTATCACCGCTAGTCAAAACAGTACTCGGCGCTGTATTGCATGCAATGTGACTGTAGAGATGACCAAAGTATCGCGAGATTGTGTACCGGTAGTCGAAGTACTATACACGCGAATAAAACAGCTCGATATGCCAGGATTAATCTTTTATTGTATACATGTTTGCGCGCAGCAAAGTGACTTTCTAAATTGTATGGTATTTGTGAATTGTTATACTCAGCAGCGGGACTTGGGAACTCCACACAAACACAACCAGTCCTAGTTGAGGGTAGGCCAACCGACACCGTCGCAGCCAGTTCAGTCCCATTGCTCGGGTAGGTCTGAGTATATGTTACTACGCACCTTTCCTGAGACGCACTCGCTCTACTCTTAGGACCACACAGCGGCTATTAGTATTTTGAGCCGGGTGATATCATGGGCGGATGAACACCGCTGTCGCGTATATATGGTACATAAAAGCCAGGATGTGCTCGTGACAAGATAGGAATATGGGTTCTCTATCTATCTTTGTTCCACTGTTCTTCTAGAGCCTTCCAAAGCACCGAGAAGAGCATACCCTGTAGAATAGCCGTACCAATATCAAGTCAGAACGATGCATGGATGTTGCAGTTGAACTTCTCGATCCTGCAACCGACGAAAACACGAGCACGGGCTACTGCACAATCTCTCCACACTCAAGCACGCACATACAGATACGCTAACGACCATGTGTCACAATACTCACAACACCAGTGTACACCTTTGGCAAATCCCCATACCTGCATGGCATTGGCCAGGATTCGAGTCTTCAGACCACGCCCGAAAAGTCCTATCAAACCGTCCTGTTTGATGACCATTTTCACCGTCTCCGGATACGACATTTGTACAGCCGCGGTCTGTTTTGTCGTTTTTACGACACGGATGGAATTGGAGCATGTGTCGGACACCACTGACGCGCAGAACCCAATGACCGCATTACGGCCTAGGTGATACAAAATCAATCAATTGTTTAGTGGAGAAATGAGAATAGGTCAGATGTATAATATGATTGTCGATCTAAAGGTATTGAGGTATATTTACGAACCAATTCGATCACACGATCCGATGCATCTATGAGGCTCACTTTTCCTTTCTTGAGCCAGTTTCAACTGTTGTCTCATTTTAGAAATCGCTTTCACGAGACTAAAATGAGGTGGGATTTCCACAAACGTATGCACGTCAACGTATATACTACAATACAAGCAAGGGAGAGATGTCTGGACAAAAGCCGGTAGTACTAAGTAAAGCAATTGCCTGCATCTAGATTGCATCTCAGTAGAATTCCAAGCCAAAGAAAAACTATATATACCAAAGCCCATGCCTAGTATAATTCACATCCCTTAGAAACATACGATCTTTAAACCCATAAAAAACTATCTATATACCTAGTTTCTTGAGCGTTTCATCTTTCTCTGCCTTAGGAAGCTTCTCTTGCAGCAAGTTATATACGAAGAACCTGGAAGTATAGTGGTGAACATGGGTTGAGTATCTCTGGAAGTAAACAGTACCTACATTCAAACATGTCTACCTTGGGAAGTATACCTACACAGGAGTGTACAATCTAACCCAGTTATGTAGCTATGTGATCTACGTATTCTGAACGCAAGCAGTGAAGACGCAGAAGTTCTGACGTGCATGTGAGGGAAATACAACTTTGCCCACGCTAACAAAATACCACAGACGATGTACACAAGAACACTGCACGACGCAAGACGAACCGATTGGACAAGCCATCCCAGGGCTTTGGACCGAACACTGCAAGCCCATCCACACAGCCGTATGCATCTATATGCACTGTTCGTGTGCACGTGTATATATCCGGGACAACTAGAATGGCCTAGTAACCATTCACTGGACACCGCGTTCGGAGTCTTTGAGTTATAAACTTACCAGGGGTAGTGACCTGTGTTCAGCACCAGACGACCGGTAATTTAACGAGCGCGCGGAGGGAGCGCCAGATACGAGGAATAGAGCAGGAAATATGAGTATTGGAGTTGCAATGACGCGTGTGTATAGTTGTGCCCTGTAGGTAACTCATATCATACAACGCTACGACATAAAATGTGTAACATATAGACATGCCATAGCGCATTCGTGTATCCTTAGACACACCTAATAGCTTCACACATACCGTAGCCACTGTACACTTCACTACATTGTATCGCCGAGCAAACAAGCTGCTGATACCCATACATTCTTATGTATTTTAAAACATTTGCAATATATGCCTGCATGCAGAAAACGTGAAGCAACTAGGACAAATATAGGTATTTCATAATTATATCATGACTGGTTTGTTGAAGTGAGGAGGATATATTCATTAGTGTAGTATATTCTTAATATACACCAGCCGGAGGGCACGAACACACGACTACAGAAACAGGACAAAATGAATCTGATAGCCTTGACTGACTATTGCGACGAAAACCCTACATCAGCCCGTTGTATTCTGCAGAAGCTCAATTGTCGGGCCCTTGTGACCTGACCTGTCCATAATATGGGGCTCAGCCCTCGTTCAGTACATAGTCCCCGAAACACTTACCGACAAATGTCGCACCGGATGCCGCGATTGCCCCACTGTATAGCACTTTTGGGCCTCCGGAGGACAGTTTTCCCCTCAATTGTGACACGCCCTTCGCACCCTCGACCTGAGATGTGAATGAAACGTGCAAGTATGTTAGTAAATCATCTCTGCTTTATTCCCGATGAACAACGGTCTACGATGCATCTCCTATAGAAAGCCCCACAGTGGACATTATGTGCAAGTATGTCATCCAATTGCAACATAATGTGCAATATCTTCAAGGCTAATGAAAGTGTCGATCGTTTCAACAATTTGCCATGCGCGGCTTAGAATCACTTACAAATTACACAGAACAGCACCAAAACTCTAACCGCCAATTGTAGACGTCAAATATAGATTTGATATCCATGTCTGCAACCCTGACAAACACTATTGTAGTATATTGCAATGGGTATTGTGAACATGCGTATTGTAAACACGCGCCAAAGACACCATCGTGAAACTGGCAAATGCGGTAATACTGCACGCTGGCCAACGATATAATTCAAACGGTTATAAGTACGCACAAGAAACCCAATAGGACAGTAATCTCTGCCGTTAGCCATATAGTACACTAACCAAACAGTCTGATATTTACTCAGCACGCTGACAGCAACACACATACACATAGCCACTGATATGCAAGTATATGTAGTCGATAAGAGCACAGACATAACCACTGACCACTGATACGCAAGTGTATAGAGATAGGAGTCTTACCTGCATAGTGGTTTTCAGCGTGTCGACAGGCATGAGGAACACGCGCCAAGTCGCCGCCGCAGCACTGGCAAAGATGGTCTTCACACCCACTGGCAGATTGGACGTCGTGTCGTACGAGTCCAACAGAGCCAGCACACCCGCATTTGCTGCCGTGTCTCCGAAGCGGGACAGAGGACCCTGTGTCAGACAATGTGATACATAAGTGTGAGATAGATAAAGTATTGGTTGTGGTTGTGTCGTATGAATCCACCAAGGCCAACACGCAAACGATGGCAGCGGTATTGCAGCGGAGGATCATGCTAAATAAAAATAGAAATGTGTAGGTGCGGATAACATAACTTCTTTAAAACATGTCAAATCCACTGCTTTACATACGGGATGGTCTCACGTCTTACCTGATTTTATGTATAAATACAATGCATATACATATATACATATACATGTGTGTGTGCATATATAAATATACATATATATATTGTATATATTTATCATATATTATATATATATACATATACATATATGTTTTAGAAAATGAAAATACCTGGAAGAGAGCCGGTCCATAACCACGGTAAAACCTACGGATACCGCCCTCTTTGTATAAGTGCTTGAAGGCTTCTGTCGTCGATGTACCGTAGCGGTATTGGTAGTTCATTGTAGTCCTGCGTACAACAAAATTTTCTAAGTTAGTTACATATCCCGCTTGAAAACAAGCAATGAACGAGTGGCGAAGCCTCGTATTGTTAATACGCCACTTTATCAAAATGGGGCACTTGCGCACACAGTGGGTGTATTGCGGATACGTACATGAACCATGACAATAAATACACGACAGGAACTCGACCAAGGTCATTCTCCAGCAAATAGTGGGCACTTCTACTGCCAGAAAAAAATGCACAATACTATTCGCCTTTGCAGCCGACTGTGTACATCTACCTTAAGCCCAAAAACTCATATGTAAACCCCATTGTGTACATGCGAGATTTGACCAAGCAACAGCGACAATGAAACAAATCAGGAATACAGCCTCAAATAAAGAACCATTTACCTCAACCACATGAGCTATATAGTGACGATCCATGCGCAAGGAGAATCCAATCCAGAAATCGTCCAATCAATGTCAATAATAAAAAGAAAAGTGAGACGTCGATAGTACTTTTCCAAACAAAGAATTAGGGAGTCGTGGCAAGAAACCTGAGTTTGAGTATATCGCGGCAGGCGGCGATTTCAATGCAATCCTGGACACCTGTACTAGGACCACGCATTGCGCAAAATTTGCATATAATTCACACATCACTTGAAGATGGGGCCCCACGTTTGCTTTTCTCAACAATAATGAATTTTAGAATATAAGAGCGACCCATTTATATCAAACATACACCAGCAAATTGTGCAATCCTATATATATATATATCTATAAATTATATAGATATATATATGTGTGTGTGTGTGTGTAAGTGTATACATATACATATATATATATATATATATGTTGTTCATGTGTCATTGGGTGTGTGGGTGGATAAGGGTTCATGTTGACCGAACGTAAGTGTTAGGGATACGAGTGCAAGTTGAGTATCTGTGGGTATGTGCGTGAGTTTGGAAATGGCGTTTCAAACTATATTCCCATTCGAATACTCAATATATATATACAATCTTCCGGATTCGCCGTCACCGGCCATTAATATGGATCAATTTTTTCGCACCGATAATGCATTGTTTTTACATCACTTACACTTGTGACGTTGATTCCCATCGCAACAGCCCCAGGCACTCCACCTGTACGTTATAAACAAGTCATAGGAATCATGTAACTGGATACATTAAGAAATGGAGAAATACTTTATTGACCTTGTATTGTGCACCGATTGCTATAAATCTGTTGGCTATCTGAAATGTAAGCTCATTGTTCTGATGGAAATTGAAGAATATCTCGGAACTAATCACCATCTGCCAGTTCCTATGCGCAAAGTACGCTATAAACATTCATTGCACTAGGCTCTCGCTATAAATTCTCGATGTGCTGCTTATGAAGTTAGATAGAAATGCCATACGTTATGTATACCACGACATCCGTACAAATATCAAACTCACACATAAATGATTGCAATTATCTTACCCACAAATAAACTAGATCCGTTCTGATATCACTACATATCAAATAACCATTGGAACTCACAATTCACATGAATTGTAGCAGATGTCCAACGGGAAGGAATGACATATGTACATGTACCACTACATACGAACAACAAATACATTTTACACTGCACTTAAACGTTGTAGATAATAACCTCGCAGCGACAATTACAACGTTACTCATATTACTACGCCTAGAATTTTTAGTTCATTGTAGAAAAATGATTATACTGCACTTACCACCAATTGCTCGCTTGCCAGCGGCGGTTAAGATCTCCTGCAGAGACTTTTTAGGCTTCTGCATAGCAGGTGCATTAGCATCGACGGCGGCCATGTTTATTATAGCAAGTGTGTATTCTTAGACTGTAAAGGATGAAGTATATGCTCTTACAGACTTGCACTGTCGATGCTTAATGGTACGAAAAGTATTCAGGCACGGGTATAATATATATAAAATATGTTACCCCACCGGGGCGACAGAGCACAAGGCTAAAGTGAGATGAAACCGAAGTTGGGAAGTTGGGACTTGAGTCTTGGGATTGTTACACTTAGTCACTTACACATGGATCAATGTTACATATGTGACATATCTGTCATCAGATTGGTCATAAAGCTTGTAACCAATTAAACGAACCCAAAGTATCGTAGCCTCCTGAAAATAGAACAAAAGTATGCGAATATATAAACCCTAAAAACCTTACCTGACGAAAATATAATAAAACTATTCACAAAAATAACAAGGATAAATTGCAAGTCATTTTGGCAGCTGTTGGGAATTGAGATGGGTTTAAAAATGAATATGTCGTATATACCTAAATAGGACAATTTGTCGCCAATAGCACTCCACTACTAAACTTAAATACACACACAACAAGAAGGAGACGACCACAACGCCGAAAAGGCACCAACTGCCAACTTCAACAGCGCCAAGAAGTGAGCCAATTGCCAACTGCCAACTGATCAAGAAAATTTGATTTTTGCTGCTCTTTAAAATATTTTATCACAGCCTTCTTTCAATATTTACAAACAATTGAATAGATCTGTTTCGCCGCACTATAGTCAACAATACATATTACTATTTTATTACTGACATTTATCTGAATGTAGTCGAGATTCGAGAATCGAGAGTCGAGAGTCACTCGCGAGAGAGTCAAGACTCGAGACTATAGAACCATAATACATACAGATGTCGAGAACAAAATAGGTTCTTATCTTTTAAAATGCATACAATTCTATTGGATCTGAATATATTATTTAAATTTTATCCTCATCACAGGAATACATATTGTATTTACATTGTACAAAGTCTCATAGTATCATACTCGTAGTCATAGGCCATATGTAGAATTGTAGTTTGTAAATGGCCTTCTTCAATAATAGACAACAATATGCGTCAGACCTAAATTTGTTTTAAAAAAAGAGGTTTTTTTAAAGTCAACTCTTTTTGGAAAACTAGACTAGTCAACCTGGATACTAGTCCAGAACAGTTTTGAGAGAGCCAGATAGTGACTATTTTTTGTGAATGTATAGATTTCTGATGTTAAATAAACAACTGATATTTTTATATATAAAAATCAAATAGGAATTTTTTAAGGTGAATGCACTGCAAGCTTTTTTTTAAATATGTACTACAATTACGCCATGATCTCACAATTCTTCCCCAGACAACCAGAAACCTCGTGCCAAAAAGCATATTTTAAATACCCCGAGATCGAGCTATACCGGGAACCGGGATATTTTTTAACAAAAAGCTAGTGACTGTCGACTGAAGAGCAATATAAACAAATATTTACTCTTAAAGAGACAACAAGGAGTAAATACACATGCGGTAGGCGTCCAACTTTGACCTCTTGACCAATGACAAGCCAGACCAACAGTCTTCTGGTTAGTAGTCCAGAATTTTCACGGTGAAAGATTAGTTCTAATGAGCAGGTGTGGCCGCCAAGTCGCCAATTCCACAGGATAAAAAGGAATGTGTACTCATAACTCGTTGCCCAAGTCCCAGTATTTACCAGTCCGAGAAACGTGTCTTTTCTATTTTCATATGTAGGGCTGTAGCCTCTGTAGCCTGTAGCTATAATAGCCTTGTTGATTTTACATACGGCTAATAAGGATAATATTTGTATAAAAAAAAAGGGCTACATCGTAGAATGGTCGTTTTTTTCGTATCTTGTTCGTCGTACACAACCTTGAAGTAACTGCATTTAGTTAGAATCACGTCATCCAGAAAACGACAAAATCAGATATGTCTATAATTGAAAATCAATAAAATGAACAAACAGGACACCTTGGGACGAATTTGGGTGCGGGTTTGTTCACCCCTTTTTTTTTGTCATATTCGATCAATCGTAGATGTGCCAGAGGAGGGCAATAATTCTAAAAAAGAGTACTTACTATCTCTCTATCTCTATTTCTATTCCATTC